TTGGAGCTAGAGGAGCCGTGGTAAGTCATTCATTGCATTATAGTCGCCTCTGTTGGGAAGAGCACCTGGTACTGCCTCCCATTCAACTTCATCCCATAAAACTGACCTCGATGCCGTCTCTCTCTTTCACAGCTTCAAGTCATCAGCAAGTGTCCTCCCAGAGACGCGTATGAAGGAGGCGTATAGAGTATAACAAAGCCAGGGAAGAGCCTGGCAGCGAGTCATATCAAATGCCTTCCTTAAGGCATATCTCTAAGAAGAGGTTCTTTCCAACTAGGGATAGTGCTCGGGCTGCTATCTAGGCCACTGCACTGACTTAACCTTCAATTTCCCTTTCTGCGCCTTGATAACTGTTTCTTTAACTTTCACAGCGTCTTTATGGTCACCGTCTATGGCCAAGGGCCATTCCAGAAAGAAAGGTGGCTTCAAGCTGAAATGGGCTTGTGAAAAATGTCACATGTGGCCTTGAGAGTTGAACATATTTTAAGGGGGGGAGGGCGGGGACCTCATCTTTGCTTCCAGAAGGCATTTGTTGAGAAAACACATCAAATTCAAGAAGATGAACAGGTTTCTCCCCAACCCCTTCCCTGGGATCGACACGCACATCTCCCGGCCTAACCCAATCCCAATGGCATGATCGCACAGTGACTGGGGCTCAGAGAAAGTGAGTCATGTTTTCAGCATGTGCCGATGGACTTTGCACTCCTAGAAACCCCGTGGGCAGAGCAGAACTGCCCTGCGGGTTTCCCTGCCTGGCTGCCTTCTTTCAGGGAAGGAGGCCTGGTAGTGCTGTGTGCTAGGCATTGGGCTGCTAATGGCAAGGATGGTGGCTCAAACCCACCAGCTGCTCTTTGGGGAAACGATTAGGCTGTTTGCACCTGTAAAGATTTACAGGTGTGGGAACTCATCATTCGGAGTCAAGATTGACTTATAACGTCAGGCTTGGTGTTTGGGAAGCTACATGAGTCGATGACCAGATTTTCCTCCTGCCGAATGGTTGGGTGGGTTCAAATTGCTAACTTCTTGATTTGGAGCCCAGCTCTTCATACTGCACAAGCAGAGACCCTTCAAAGGGATATCCTGGCATATGTCCATCTGTGGCAAATCCAGCATGGGACTGGGAGTTGTTCAAACTTGGTGCCTATGCCTCCTCTGCCTTTCTCTCCACCTGCTGAACCAAGGCGGTATCCCTGGGTCTTCATGCCTCCATTAATGCCAAGAATAAGACTGACATAGTATGTGATTCCACTGTTGTTCTTTTTATGAGCGATAAATGCAGCATGAGGCTCTATCTACTTAACATTCATCCATTCATCAACCTCATTGCTCAGCCCCACCGAGGGGTGATGTGTGCCTGTGGAGAAAAAGACCTCTTGCCTCGAAGACAAACACCGGAGACTTTAACATGCCATCCTCCCTGGTCAGATTCCCGCAGACTCTTCTATGGCTCTGCTGTGAGCCCTCTCACCCCACTTCTGCAGAGCCAACAGGGCATTCTGGGTAAAGGAACGCAAAATGATGCAGTCCCCCATGCCCTGACCTCTCCGGGGTTTCTTGATTCCTGGCTTTTGAAGGGTTGAGGCCAGTATTTTTCTGATCTAGGAGTGGAGAGGAAGGAGAAGGTAGAGAGAAGTCAGGGGAGGCTTCCTCTGGGCGAACGAAATGACAGCCCCAATTCGTTCGCTATGACCAACGGAACCCAGACAGGGCAATGATCTGGTAAATTGGAATGTGGTTGGGACGCAGGCTCCTTAAAACATGAGTCTGGCTCGGACCAAACAGTGGCTTCGTCCTCAGACTTTTCCCCGGTGCCAGGGCTGCTTCTGTGAACCACCCATTAATCCAGATGGGCAAAGGAGTCAGACTCCACATGGGTGTGGGAAGACATGTCTTTGGTGGGAGAAGTGCCACCCAAATGACCTGCTAATTGGTCTCCTGGCTGATGCACCTCCCAGCTTCCTTAGGGAGGGACGCCTGGAAATCAGGATGGCTCTCAGGTAGCCAAGACTCTTCCAGATGTTGTCGAGTGTTCCCAGAGTTCCGGGTGGGTTATTCCTAGGACAACCCACACTCGTGTTCCTACTCATTCTGCACACCCACACATTGGGCCAGAGGCAGGGCCGAGATAAAGGGGGAACCTAAAGTCTGGCTTGGGGGTTGCCACCAAAGAGTGGGGTCGAGGCAAGGCGAGCTCAGCTAGAAGCTTAGAATTTACCAGATGGCTTACAGGAAACCCAGATTTGTGAGGGGAGCGGAAAGATTTATCATCCTTGGAAACTGATGAGCAGGCTAGAGTCCGTGGAATTTCTAAGTGATTCACTTCCCAAATGTGCATTCTCCTTCAAGTGTGTTCCAGGCCTTGTGCTACTTAACAGGGTGAGATCCAAAAGCCACAGCCCTGGCCCGGGGCAAGACCAATGATACCCATCTCAGAATATCTGGTGAAGAACTCAGGCAAGGGCTAGGAAGGAAAAGGTGAGGTGTCAGGAACAGGAACACCCAGGAGACCCGATGGAGATCACCCTGGAGGTGCTCAGACAGGGAGTCTTGGAGAGGAGCGGGTTTTAAAGCTTAGCTTTTAAGGGATCCAGTTGGCTTCTAATTCAGACTCTCCTCTGGTTTGGGGCTGAAGGATAAATTGGATGTGGGTCAAAATGAGTGTGGGGACTGCATATTGGATGTAATCTCATGGTGTGGGTAGAGAAAGGTAGAAAGCCCGAGGAGAGAGAACGTGGAGTCAACGAGATTTGGGAACTGGGCGGGGATTGGGGCAGGGGGCGAAGGAAGCATCCAAGACACTGGGCAGGAGTCTGACTGAAGGGAAAAGAGGTGGTGGCCCTCTTCCCTGAGAGAGGATGCTGGGATGCAGGGATGGGCTGGGACAAGGAAGGGGGGTTCTTTATCCCCCCTTGGACTCCATCAGCCTATCTTCCACACCACACTGTCTTTCCCGTACTCCCCAGTCCCCTCGCCATTGCTCATGTGACTTCGCTCGCATGTGCTCCAGACCTCCATGCCCGCTTATCCAGGCTCTTGCCCACTCCTTGAAGGCACTCAGCACTCCCAACAGTGTGCGGCGCGGGTCTCTGACCTGGACCCCACCGTACTGGAGTTCCAGAAAGACTTACTTTGCCTTCCTCGCATGGTTTGAGGATCAGCATCTTCGCTGCTACATCCTCATTCCCCACACATTAGCTAGCTAACATCGTAGACGCTTGGCAAATATTTGGTAGGCGAATGCAAATAGCCTTCTCTATGCTGTGGAAGGAAAACCAAGAGACATTGGGTTGGCTTGAAAGCCACAGGATCCAATTTAAATTCACACAGGAGGCGTTTTAATCTTATGTCAACGCCGTGCGATGCTCAGAAGACCTTTCTGTTCCTCTGGCACACCAGCGTCACAGAGTTGAGCAGAATGCTGATGTCAGAGCCGCGACAACCACCTCTTTTTATTTCATTTTTAAGAGAACTTCCCAATTCATCAGATCCCAGGGCCTGGTCAATTTTATTAACTATTTGCCTCCGATGATAATGATGATGATACTAAACAGATAACACTTATGAAGTGCATGGCATGTATTATGAATTCTAAGTATTGCTCATAGATTAACTCTTTTATTTCTCGAAATAATTTAGTAGCATTGGTGCTATTAGTATCCCGATTACGCCAAGGAGGAACTTGAGCTGCAGAGAGCTTAAGCTCGCACAACGAAGGTGTGGTCATTACATCATTTTATGTGAACTTGATAAAGTGAAGGGGTGGAAGTTAGCCTGTCAATCAGGTCACAGCCTGATGATGCCTCCTGGTGGACCAGGCCTTCTCCTGAGGATTCTGGGAATTCCCCCTCTTTCTCCTTGGAGGTGGGCCACACTCTCTCTCTGCTTCACCTTCCTGTTGACAAGCCACATGGAGCCATGCCGACGGCAACCAGAGCCCTGGAGATAATGTCCACCACCATTGGATCCACAAGACTGTTCACCCACCAGCCTGTGTTCTTCCTGCATTCGGCATCATTGCGAATGGCTATGTGCGTCTAAAGAGGAAGTTATGGACTAGTGTCAGACATATGGGTTAATACCAGAATGATGGACTTGATCTGGACTGGGCTGGGGTGTTTTCTCAATATTCAATTGCTCTTTGATATAAAGCTCTTTCTTACACACATACGAGTGTCTCTGGATTTGTTTCTCTAGTCAACCCAGCCAGACACACAAGGGCACTCCGTTCCTATGTGATTTTAACCTATAGTCAGACTCCAGAGCCCTCGTGCTGGTGTGTAATGTAATACTAAGACTTAGAAACTTAGAAAAGGGCATGGCACAGCAGAGGTCCTCAGCAAGTGCTCACAAAATCAATAGGAGGGTCCCTAGATCTGGAGCAAGGAGACCATCCATTCTCGACCTTGATCTGAAGCCACTGGCTGGCTGTGTAGTCTTGAACAAGCTCATGCTTCTTGAGGGTCCTGGAGACTGACACTACGAGCATCAGCAAGATCTCGTGCTTTAATCTCTTCGGAACCTTGGCGTTTCGACAACAGTAACCAGGCAACAAGAGCGAGGCATGGAGAAACACAAGCAACCACTCAACACCTAGGAAAGGAGGAATCCAGGATTCAAATCCACACGGCTCCCACACGCCAGTCCTCAGCCCCGTGGAGATGCCCCGGGGAGCCTAGGAAAAGACGAATGGGGAAGGACAGACAGACGCTCCAGCCCCAAGTCCACAGTCATCAGAACATCTCTACATAACTGTTTTGTCGACTGGGATTCAACTTGAGATTTCCTTTGAATTAAAGGTTTTGTTGCTAAAACCAAACCAAAAAAGGTTGCAAACCATCCAAGTCAAAGAAATCTGGAAATGGATGAGACCGCTGGATATGGGAAGGAGGCGCTGGACCAGGATTTCTCTGGTCATCTTAGCTCAGGATACTCACTTAGGATAAGAGCCACGTTTAGTCCTAGAGAAGGTTGGGGGGAAGAGCATGCAGACGTCCACCTACCTGTTCCACTCGGATCTCAACCTCTCCATTCACCTTCTTCCCATGAAAATACTTGGCCCTGTGAAGGAGAGGAAGGCATGTCCTGAGTCAGGATACAGAATGGTTTATGCTTTGTCCCTTCTCCCCAAGGTTGGACCCCTGCAGGTGCATACCCAGACACATTCTCTACCTTCCCTCGCCCTTCTTGACAGCTTTGTCTCCTTTATAAGCTGAACACGGCACAGAAGACAAAGTAACTAGGTAAGAGTTTGGAGAGTTCTGCTCTGACTCCACCAAGTCACTTTTCTTCCGGCATCTCAGCTTTATCCTACGCAAAGTGAAGATACTCCTCCCGTCCCTATCTAGTTCTGAGGAGCCCTGGTGGTGTAGTGGTTACTGGTTGGGCTGTGATGCGCAAGGTCGGCAGTTCGAAACCACCTGCTGCTCCTTGGGAGAAGGATGGTACTTTCTACTCCAATAAAGATTACAATCTCGGAAATTCATGGGGGCAGTTGTACCCTGCCCTGTAGGACCACGGTGAGTCAGAACTGACTCGATGGCAGTGAGTTTGTTTTTTTCATATATGCATTTCTGAAGGTTATTTTAATAAATGTCACTGCCATTGCTCAGTTCCGATGCATTGGTATCAGGGGTCATGGAGTCGGCTCCAACCCAGAGCGACCCTACGCACAAGAGGGAAACACTGCCCGGTCCTGTGCCGCCCCCACAATGTTCCTGTGCCGCCCCCACAATGTTCCTGTGCCTGAGCCCACTGACGCAGCCACTGGGCCCATCCATCTCCTTGAGGGCTTTCCCCTCCTTCCCTGCCCCTCCGCTTGACCAGGCATGATGTCCTTCTCCAGGGACTGGTCTCTCCTGACAGCATGTCCAATGTATGGACGATGAAGTCTTGCCATCCTCGTTTCTGAGAAACACTCTGGCCTTACTTCTCCCCGGACAGACTTGCTTGTCCTTTTAGCAGTCATGGGTACTTTCAATATTCTTCTCTAGCATGGCAATTCCAATGGAAGGCTCGTTATGAGTCGGCATCGACTCATGACAGGGAGAGAGGGAGATAGCCCACCATCCAGATGTTCCCCACCCCTGCACTAAACTATGGTACCATTCCTTGAAGTCAGCAACAGTGTGTTGCATTGATCATTCATCGCCAGCCTTCAACCCACTAAGCAGCTACTGAATGAATGACTGACTGAAGATATGCGTGGGGGCAAAACACCAACGGAGGGCTTGCTCGACTCCACAAATGGTGCTAGAAGCCTTCACCAATCGCCTTTCTCATTCAACAATCACAGCCACAAGGTAGTTCAGCAGCAACAGCCTGTGGACCAGGAAACCGAAGTGACTTGAATACAGGCCTTCTAATTCCAGACCTGGGCTTTTGTTCAATCCTGACATTATATATATATAATTGGTATACTCCTGAGCTTAGATGTCCTTCCACACACAAATCAACAGCACAGCCAGCATTTCCATTTGCTGTCCTGTTTGTTGGCATAACGAACACCACTAGTTCTTAGTCACTTGCCGTACTGGACGTTGTGGTGGGAATTTCCATAAACTCTCTCTGGGGCAGAGAAAGCTCTTGGGCCATATCCACTTTCTCCTTCCACAGTGAGAGAATTTATAGAGGGGGGTGTGGCCATGTGACGGGACTCTCAGCCATTAAAACCTATAAGCCCTACATCAGGGGAACCCTGCTGGGGTGGTGGTTCCGTGTTGGACCGCTATCTACAGAGTCAGCAGTTCGAAATCTCCCGTAGCTCTGAGGGAGAGAGACTGGGGCCTTTCTACTCCCGTCAACAGCCACAGTCTCGGAAACCCACAGGGGGTCACTATGAGTCAGCACGGAGTGAAGGAGCCGCGCATTAGGCGGAAGCATCGAGAACTGCCTGCTCCATCCCCTCTCTGGTCTTCTCTCTGGAACACGGTTACGGCTGACTGTTCTTTTTGGCTCTCTCCAACTTCCATTTGTGAAAGAACTCTCTCTATAAGCTTTCTGAGCGAGCTTCAGGCTGTGTGCTCCCAAACTCACCCTTCCCAAGACTGCCCAGGTCAGCACCTGCAGGCTCCGTCCACAGCCGTGCTTTCCCAGGACACCCACAACTTTAGATCTCTGGCAGGAAGCACCTTACGGGGCAGGAGCTGGTCCTGTGCTTTGAAAGCCAGGTCCCCTGAGGCAAGCATTTTCCCTTTCAGGAATGGTCTTCCACCAAGGGGATGTGCGGCCCCGTCTTGGACAAAGGAAGATGTCTCGTGCAGTTCGTGAATTTAATTGTGAGTCCTTTGAGGCCCTGCTGGCAAACTCCAAATCCAGGTCAGGTTGACCCCGGGGATGTGTGTGGGGATGGAGACTAAGGAACAGATGGCGGTTTGTGTATCACCTGCCCAAGTCCTTAAAAGTGAAAACGCTTCAATAAGACATGTCTCCATAATGACCAGGGCGGGGGGGAGGGGGCCCACAAGATGTCAACTTCTCAGAATGCTTAGAGCTTTCAGTGGCAGCATGGGCCCTCACCTGTGGTCTCACCTAATTCTCCTCCTGCCACCTCTCTACCTGGTGTCACAGGGACCTCCTGGGCAGGTAAGTGGACAGCCTCGCCCACTTGTCCATTTCCTACCGCTTGGGAAGACCGGCCCATAAACTGGAGAATTCAGGCCCTGGAATTTTCCCCTGGCTCATCTCATCAGGAGGTTCTGGGTGGCCACAGCATGACCTACGGAGTCCACTGGCAAGGTCCTAGTGATCCCCCTGCTTGTCAGCAGAAAGGTAGCTAGCGAGGGTCAGAGTTGGACTCCAGCAAGAGTGTCTCAAGGTCGGCTTCCATGGTGAAGCCCAGGTGGGCCTAGGATACGCTATCAGGATGGTGAATCCTCGTGGAATGCCTCTATGGTACCAGGGAGGACTTACATCTGGAATCACCCTAGCTCTCCTGCTCACGCACTACGAGACTCGGCCGAGGAAAGGTATTCTGTGCCCCCTCACTGCTATTTGTGGAGTGGTGATCACATCACCTAGATGGCAGGTGCTGGTGAGACAGCCTGGTGATGCCCTGAGGTCACAGACAGGGACAGAGTCAGGACATGGCCTCTGTGCAAACCCCAGCTCCCTCACTGGTGCTCACTCGCTGTCCAGCCTTGGGCAAGTCGCTCAGTCCCCACGTCTGTGGAATGGGGCTTATCGATAGGGCTAGCAGCTACTTCACACAGCCACTGGGGGGTGGGAGGGGGTTTTCAATGAGCTAAGACCCCTAAAGCACTTCGCACAGTTCCTGGAAGGCACTATGTACCCCACACGGGAGCCACAAAAAGAACTAGGTGGTGCTGACTCTGTGCCTTCGTGTAGTGGAAACCCACAAGTCCACCAAATGTGCTCTTATCCCCTGGAGGATTACAAAATAGAATTAGGATTCCTCTTGCATGGGGGATGCAAACCACAAAGTCATCAGTTTGAAACCACCTGCCACTCAGAGGGGAAGATGAGGCTTTTTACTCCCATAGAGAGTTCTCACTGCCATAGACTCAACGTTGACTCATCGCCGCCCCCTGTAGGTTTCTGAGACTGTAACTGTTGACAGGAGTAGAAAGCCCCCAGTCTCTCTCCTCAGGAGCTGCTGGTGGTTCTGAACTACCGACCATCCGGATCACAGCCCACTAACTACACCACAGTCATGGAAACCCCCAGGGGCAGTTCTGCCGTGTCCCATAAGGTCACTGTGAGTCAGAAGTGGCAGTGAGTTTGGTTTTTAGTTTGCATTGACCCACACCCACCCCCCCTGGACCCCGGGTGTAAGAAATGGCAGATGCTGGTCATGATAAAAGACAACATGGATGTATACAACCTACAGGCCCTGACACCTCTCTCCCCTTACACGTGACCCTTGTGTCAACCATGAGACAGTCGAGAGCAGGGCACAGTCCCCACATGTTCTAGGGGCAGCAGGAGTGGGATCTCTCACTTTGGGATTCATGGTAGATCCCAGAGCCCTTCCTGACCTGCTGGTCAGTGGCCCTGCTCCCACTGCTGTCTGCCAATCAGTCTCATGGGCACATCTGACTCCCGGCCATTGCCCACGCACACCGGACAATCTGCCTCTGGGTCTTTGATGGGCTGTTCTCCCAGCCTGGGGGCTCTCCTGCTCTGGCTTGTCCTGTCCCCTTTCTCCTTCCAGGATGTTCGTCGTGTTCCCCTCAGTCAGCACCCTCCTTGGAGTTCCCACAGGACACAGGATTTGTCCCCAGCACACGCCATGCCCCGCGATATTGAGCTTGTGAATGTCAGGGACCCCAAGCCTGAATCTCAGTCCTCACTGTATCTCCAGCACCCAGCACTCAGTGGGATTAGGCCACAGGCAGGTTGGTAGAGTCCCTGTGGGACCCCTTCCTTGAGATGCTCTGCTACCATCTACTGGTAGGTTGTGGTACTGCATGTCCAC